AGAACTCGATTTCCTAATGAAATGGATTTGCGTGCTACAAGGAGAGGACATGAGTAATATTGTAATGTATACCTTGTTGAATATTTTTTTTGAATTCAATTACTAATGAAATATTTGTTCTCTTTTTCATTGTATCTGAAGTTTTTGTTCACATAAATTCCATCAGAATAAATTTAATTAGAAAAACTTGTCAAATAAAATATAATGTGATAAAATTTAATCACACAAATTCCGTCAGATAAATTTAATTAGAAAAACTTATCGGATAAAATATAATCAGATAAAATTTAATCAAATAAATTTAATCAGATACATTTAATCAGATAAATTTAATCAGATCAATCAATATTATGGGCAACCATATCTGTACAATAATTTAATAATGTGTCGCAGCTTTTAATTCTCATACCTAACTCCAATAAACAAACAAACACATTTAGCAACATCCTAACCGTTGGAAGTTGACGCGGATCACAATCCTACGGTCACAAAAAAAATCCTCCAGTCGGAACTACCAAATCCGACTGGGAGGAATCTCAAACAAGCACACTTCTCGAGTCGGGATTGCCAAATCCGACTGGGAGTATTCTATCTTTGACCGTTGTATTCTAGACAACTCGAACTCTATAAATAGTTCTAAAATTTATCCCAACAATCATTCCTACATCATTACTCAATCTCAATTTTATCAATCTCAAGCAAGAGTATTCACTACCAAATCAAACCTTTGGGATCAACCAAATTTTCAGGTTAGTTAATTTTCGGTTTTAGAAGTGTAGAAGTAATTAATTTATTAATTTGTAAATTTTTAATTTTGAATGTGAAATTGGACTTTTAGAGTAAAATTTAGCTATAAAATACTTGAAAATTAGAAAGTGTGTTACATTCGGAATTAGCCTTAAATTTCGGCATTAGGAGCGTAGAAGTAGTTAATTTATTAATTTGTAAATTTTTAATTTAGATTGTGAAATTGAACTTGTAGAGTAAAATATAGCTATACAATACTTGAAAATTAGAAATTGTGTTGCATTTTTAATTTGCCTTAAATTTCGAATTTAGGAGTGTAGAAGTAGTTAATTTATTAATTTGTAAATTTTTAATTTAGATTGTAAAATTGGACTTTTAGAGTAAAAGTTAGCTATAAAATACTTGAAAATTAGAGAGTGTGTTACATTTGGAATTGCCTTAAATTTCGGTTTTAGGAGTCTAGAAGTAGTTAATTTATTAATTTGTAAATTTTTAATTTAGATTGTGAAATTGGACTTTTAGAGTAAAATATAGCTATAAAATACTTGAAAATTAGAAATTGTGTTACATTTTTAATTTGCCTTAAATTTCGAATTTAGGAGTGTAGAAGTAGTTAATTTATTAATTTGTAAATTTTAAATTTATATTGTGAAATTGGACTTTTAGAGTAAAATATAGCTATAAAATACTTGAAAATTAGAAATTGTGTTACATTTTTAATTTGCCTTAAATTTCGAATTTAGGAGTGTAGAAGTAGTTAATTTATTAATTTGTAAATTTTTAATTTAGATTGTGAAATTGAACTTTTAGAGTAAAAGTTAGCTATAAAATATTTGAATATTAGAAAGTGTGTTACATTTGGAATTTGGCTTAAATTTCGGTTTTAGGAGTGTAGAAGTAGTTAATTTATTAATTTATAAAATTTTAATTTAGATTGTGAAATTGAACTTTTAGAGTAAAATATAGCTATAAAATACTTGAAAATTAGAATTTGTGTTAAATGTTTAATTTGCCTTAAATTTCGAATTTAGGAGTGTAGAAGTAGTTAATTTATTAATTTTTAAATTTTTAATTTAGATTGTGAAATTGGACTTTTAGAGTAAAATATAGCTATAAAATACTTGAAAATTAGAAATTGTGTTACATTTTTAATTTGCCTTAAATTTTGAATTTAGGAGTGTAGTAGTAGTTAATTTATTAATTTGTAAATTTTTAATTTAGATTACGAAATTGGACTTTTAGAGTAAAAGTTAGCTATAAAATACTTGAAAATTAGAAAGTGTGTTACATTTGGAATTTGCCTTAAATTTCGGTTTTAGGAGTGTAGAAGTAGTTAATTTATTAATTTGTAAATTTTTAATTTAGATTGTGAAATTGGACTTTTAGAGTAAAAGTTAGTTACAATTGTGTTCAATTTAGATTTAGAACTCAATTTCGAATTTAGTAATTTATAACTGCTTATTTTAGGAATTTCAAATGGACCAAAACATTCCCCGCCCCAGGCCTGTTAACCGTTCACTACTCACGTTGCCACTACGTGCCCATCGTGCGGACCGTGTATGGTATGAACCAGATTCCAGACACTCGTGCTTGAAATGTGTCAGTTGCCCTGATCACGCATTCGGAGATGAAGAGCAAGATCAAAGAGTGATGGATATGTTAGCATATGCTGACTTCTTGGGGGTAGAGCACATTGCCGCGTATGAAGGTGGATCATAGTTTAATATGTGCTTTGGTGGAGAGATGGAGGCCGGAGACACATACTTCCCATCTTCCATTCGGTGAGGTCGGCATTAATCTACATGATGTGTTGATCATCCTTGATTTGCCCATTCGGAGTATGCCCCTCAGTGGTCCAACCGTTAAGGATAAGGCTCAGTGGATCGACATGTGCACGCAGTCGTGTGGTTTCACTCCTCTAGAGATTGATATACGCACGAGTAATATCACCATGAATGTTGTTACCTGCCACCCAATCGTACCTGACAGTACAGACGAAGAGGTCACCCAACACACCAGGACCCTAATATGACAATTGCTTGGAGAGTTTTTGTTCCCTGACACAAGTGGGGCAAGAATAAGATTGTACTTTTAGAGGTCTTGGCTGGTGACTTGGCTTTAGCCCGTCGATGGAGTTGGGCATCAACGGTTCTCGGCTACCTCTACCATAACTTGTGCAACAACGCCAAGTGGGAAACCAAACAAGTTGGCGGTTGTGTGCACTTGTTACAGATTTGGGCTTGGTCGAGGTTTTCGATGGTCCGTCCCTCACTACTTCAGGTCATTCAACATGACCATCTTCCATATGGCTGCAGGTATGTTGGCAATTACATCTTAATAATTGATAATGCTTTATATGACGTTAGATTTTTAAACTTCATATCGGTAATCAATAAATGTAGGTGGATCGTCCCCAAGTCATATAAGGGATCCCCAATACACTGCATACGCTTGTACCGGGATGACCTAGACCGCATGAGTGAGAGTCAGGCAGTACTTGAAATTTTTACTTCCACCGTACTATTCAATTTCCAATACACATTGTTTTACAGTTCTTACATTGCAAATTAAACTTTTTAGAGTTTGATTTCACTCCATGCGCGTATGAGGAACTCCCACCTATCATCCTTCAGGACGCCCCGCTTTGGTCGGCTAGGGTCATGCTCATATTTTGCAATATGGCCGAAATGCATTACCCCGATCGATTTCTTCGACAGTTCCATATAAGGCAAGATACTCCAGATGCTCCTTTGGCGGGTACTGATCATCACGGTAATCGTTCCAACATAGTAACCGATGCCTTGGCGATGCGGACGGACATACAACATAATATATACTTTCTTGATTATGATCGACATATGTCCGACGAAGCAACTAAGAGGTACTGAAAATGGTACAAGAAGCATGACATGACACGTGTCCAAAACCCTTCTCACAATGTGCCCACGACATACTACACTCCGACATCACACGATTGGGGTATTGTGGTAAGTTTTTGAACACATACCATTTTCATTAACATATATCGTGGCATATTATTTACACGTGTTACATTTTTATGCAGAAGCAAGGTTTTTACGAGGTGAATCGGCTCTTAGCCGACAGCACGAGTCATGAGGACTGTAAAAAACGACTACTGCAGATGGCTCTGGATGTAGGTGATGAAAAGATGCTCCGCCAAGGCGTATTCCATTATGAAGATGGAGATGAAGGTGGAAGTGACGAAGAGGATGATACAGATGAACATGAAGGTGGGGGTGAGCACTCACAATCACCCCATCAATTATCAACACAGGGTGTCTCATTTGATCAACCACCCCCTCAATTCTCAACGCATCAAGGTGTCTCATTTGATCAACCACCGCCGTATTATGATTCTTATCAGTATTCCACACAAGCGGGTGGTTATGTTGATTCATTTCTGGATTCGTCATTTTACTATGGAGACACAACGGGGCCTTGGAACACTAGCGGTGGGGACGGAGCAGGGCCGAGCACGCAACGTTAGATATATAATATTAAATTTAATATTGTATGCACTCTCTATTCATTAATAAATTACATTGAAAAATACATTTGTTTTTTCACTTCCATTAAAATTACAAAAATTGCACCTAAAACAAAAATTGCAATTACAACAAAATTCACAATACAAATGGATTAAAAACAATATAAAACAATCAAATGTTTTGTTACTCAAAAAATGAAAATGCTAACTTTTCATTTTAAAAAATATGTCATCAATCTAAAAAAACTTTAAAATTTGGAATGGATAGAATTTAGCCATAGAATGTAAAACTTTTAGTTTTTAAAACTTAAAATAAAAAATTTACGAATTACGAATTAAAATAAAAAATTTACCAAAAAAAACAAAAAAACCCCTAGTTGGAATTCACTAATCCGATAGGAGGTTAGGTCTTTTTTTTGAAACCATCCTCTAGTCGGAATTGGGTGTTCCGACTCCCCCTATTTGGTAAAACCTAGATAAATCCCCGTATTTTGACAATCAATCCACCCTTTCCCGTATATTGTTAAAACACCCAAAGTATTTACCAAACAATTGAAAACGAGCAATTAGTTGAATCCCCATAATGTGTACGGCTGACCCGCAATCCCGCATATGGTGAAACGAGCAATTAGTTGTTTATAGCAATTTGAAAATGAGCCGGTAGCTTAGCTAAACTGATAGAAAGAGAGTGCAACGATTAGATTCGGGTTCGAATCTCGGCAACTTCAATGAGACATTACTGCAATAAAAATGCATAGACCCTCCCAAAGTGCCCTCCCTTCCGGATGTCGTCCTTTTTTTAGCAATTTGAAAATGAATCTGTCATTGATTTCCCCCAAATTGCCAATCTGATCAATGTGTTTGCTTAGCTGATTTGGACTTTCAGTTCAGCTGGTTTCCAACCAACACCAGAAGCTTAAAAGCATGGCCCCTCGAATGCTGCTTCCCGCTTTCAGAAACCGTTCTTTCACTTCACGCATAATCGGCAACTATCGTTCAGTTAGCTTACATATCTTCGTTTATTCAATCCCACCTTTGGGTGGACTTCATTTAACAGCTTCGTTATTCATATCTAAGCACCTATAACGGAGAAATCGAGTTTTCTGTACGCATAATTGGAAAAGTTTGCTCTATTTTAGCGTTTATTAGCTAGTAATTCTGCAATTCACGTTAACAGGAGGTTATTCATGTGTAGCTTATATGTTGAATCAAGTTATGTTGTTTGGAATTTCGTATTTAGATGCTATAAATGCAAACCACTTTGCCTGAATCAGACATGATTTTAAAAGCATTGAAGTGACCAATAAATTGTAATTGGAGTACAGAGTATAATATAGGAACACTCACAATTTTAGCGCTCAAATACTATCATAGGCTTTTATAGATATTGCTCTGATGGACGAAAGCATTGTAATCCATGATTTGCATATCTTCTATTCTTCAGTACATTAAACCTGCATCACTATGTGAATCAAATTTTCTGAAGTGTAAATGTTTTTTATTGTGCAGCTTAAGACACTGGTTGTGGCCGAACATGAAGGGGGCTATATCAAGAGTTCATCATTAAGTGCGATAGAGGCAGCCAAATATTTGAGCAGTGATAGTCCTATATCTTTATTACTGGCTGGGTCAGGTCCTTCAATGAAGGAATCTGCTTTAACTGCTGCATCATGTCTTCCTTCAGTTTCTGAGGTTATTGGCGAATGATGATAGAAACAGTTTGTTACCGCAAATGAAATACCTGTCGGATGGAGGTTGAGGGGCTTGGAGGGGACTACTTTGGCAGGCTATATATATCAGATTTTATAAAAAAATGGAAAGTTTCACATAATATTTGATAGTATATCACTCTATCTACTAAGATATAGACTTAACCGTCCAAAACTTTCCCCTCTAAATGCCTCCATCCAAACAGAGATGTAGTAAATGACTAGGTCTCACGGTGAATTTAGGGTTATTCAACCATTTCTTAACTTTACAACGGAGAAACTTGGAGGCTAACATGACAAAATGCTTGACAGGCATCTCATTCTTACTGGAAATGAATCTCGAATGATGCATGCAGCATGACATGATCAGCATGTGTTGAAAACAGAAAAATAACGATCAATGGAATAAATCCGTTGCCCAGATAATCAACGATATAAATCGTTGCCCAGAGCCAGAACGCTAAACTCCAATTTTATTCATAGATGATCAATAATGAATCATACAAGGGGTTTAAATAACCCTCTAAGTCTAATAAGAATAGGAATCCTACTTAAATCATAATAGGAAACTAAATAGAATAGAAAACCTCTAATTCTAATAGAAGTCCTAATTAAACCATTCTAGGAAACTAAATAGAATAGGAAACCTCTAATTCTAATATAAGTCCTAATTAAATCATACTAGGCAACAAAATAAAATAGGAAACAAAATAAAAGGAATAATTAAAATTAATTAAATGGCCCGCAGCCAGCCCACGAAGGTGGGCTCAAGCCCGTCCCTGTGGCCCCGCCCTCTGCTCTTCTTGCTCTCTATCAATCCATCCTCCTTCAAAATAACCTTGTTCTCAAGGTTGAAATCTCGTAGTTCGAGAGCTGAACATTCCAGCCATAGAATAGACTGGGAAATATCCTCATCTCCTTCCGGACCCCCTGGTCCTTCCGAACCTTTTCGTGGCCGGTTATTTCACAATAATCATGCTGTTGGAGGTCCAACTCCTCATCCCCCAACTATCGTTACCCGTAACTGCTTAAAGGGGCAGTCATGCCCTGTTGTAAATGGTTTCTTACACCTAAAGCATAATCCTTTTGACAGCAATTCTTCTAACTCCTTTGGCGGAAGTAGAGTGAACCTAGAGCGTGCGGTAGACTGCACGGACAGCCCTGAATTCCCCCCGGGGGATGTCCACTATCTTTCGGAAAGCTGCCACTCAATCCCTGCATGCTGCCATCACTGGCAGTCAACGGAGGACCCGTGTTTGGCAGTGAAAAGCTGCTGGAACGTGCCTTTATAGAATTATAACTTGGACCGCCTCCTCCTCCGTTATGAACGGACAAATTGTGCTTCGGATGGATTCTTTTAGTCCATTCGTGTAGTATCCCAAATAATGATCATCACACAATTCCGGAACTTGGCTGGCCAATTGAACAAACAAGGTATTGTAGTCCTCCACTGATCCAATCTGTTTGACGCCGGACAGCCGTTCAAACCTGTTCTTCTTAAATCGGGAGTCGAATCTGGCCACCAAAGCTTGTGTGAATCCCTCCCAGGTCATGCCGGGTTTGCGTGCTATCAGCCATGTTACCCAATAGAGGACAGCCCCCTCCATGGAAACTACAGCTGCCGCCACTTTTCTGTCCGGTAGGGTTCCATTAAGTTCAAGCTGCTGTTCAAACCTAGCCACCCACCCAATCGGGTCTACGCCGTCGAACGAGGGGAGCAAAGCGGTTGCCTTGCTGCGCAACCCCCCATCGATTGAGTGCGCAGAAGTGGCGTGCGCAGGAGAGCCGCTGTCGCTGGCTGATATCGGCATCATCTCTGGCGGCACCATTGCCTTCGCGATCGCAGCAAGAGAAGCCGCGATCTCTGCGAGTTGGATGCCATGCTCTTCCAACTTCTGTCCTTGCGCGTCGAGTTTCTGATTGATTACGTTTTGCTCAGCCACCATCCGGGCTTGCTCGGCCTCCATCTCTGTCAAGCGATTGTTATGAGATCTCGTCATCTTGGTGGGACGGGATCCGGCAGGTCGGACCAATTGTTGAAAACAGAAAAATAACAACAATAAACGGAATAAAACCGTTGCCCAGATAATCATCATCATCATTACCCCAGTGCCTCAAAGGCTCCCAGCTACGGTGGGGTAAGGGAGGGTCGGATGTACGCAGTCTTACCCCTGTATTAATGCACAGAGAGACTGTTTCCGGATGACCCATTGTGAAAATTGCGTCGAAAATTTCATGGACTGACTGATGCTTCATAACAAAGAAGCGCAGACAGTTAAGTGAGCCGTTTTGCTTATTCCATCATATTCCCAAGCCAAAAAATAGTGAGTCTTTGGTTTCATTGCAAATGATGGAGGAGTTGCCAGATCATCATTTTTCATTTTAATTTACCCCAGTGCCGCAAAGGCTCCCACCTACGGTGGGGTAAGGGGGTTCGGATGTACGCAGTCTTACCCCAGTACTAAAGCACAAAGAGACTGTTTCCGGATGACCAATAGTGAAAAACGCGTCCAAAATTGCATGGACTGATTGCTGATTCATAACAAAGAAGCGCAGACAGTTTAGTGAGCCATTTTGCTTTATTCCATCATAATCTCAAGCCAAAAAATAATGAATCTGTGGCTACATTGCAAATGATGGAGGAGTTGCCAAGAGCCAGAAGGCTAAACTCCAATTTTATTCATAGATGATCAAGAATGAATCATACAAGGGGTTTAAATAACCCTCTAAGTCTAATAAGAATAGGAAACCTAATTAAATCACAATAGGAAATTTAATGGCCCGCAGCCAGCCCACGAAGGTGGGCTCAAGCCCGCCCCCCTGCTCTCTATCAGCAGGTGTGTTAGTCAGTTTCAAGAACTGTTTCGACATGACCAACTTTGTAATATGAAGCCTACAGTTTCTGAAATATTATTTGGTGGACTTTTTTTTAATAATGTACGTATAAGGTTAAAATTAAATCATTTTAACAAAATGTTGCAACTTGCAAGCTAAGTAGACAGATAAAATGCGAAGTGGTTTAATATTTCATTCAATATCATTTGCAGAAATTTTGATGTATTGGTTCATTTGGCCAGGTTCTTATTGCTGATTCTGAAATATTTGAAAAACCTCTAGCAGAACCATGGGCTAAGCTAGTCCAGTTAGTTCACCAGAAAGGTAGCTACTCACATATAATATCAGCATCAAGTTCATTTGGGAAAGGCATACTACCACGTGCAGCTGCCCTTCTTAATGTTTCTCCAGTCACTGATGTCACTGAGATTTGTGGACCTCATCTCTTTGTCAGGTAAGTTATACTTTTCAGTTTACGCTTCCTGTCTGTGACAAAAACTCGTTCACGACAGTTGTTGACAATTTCTTTTTCAACTGGTACACCAAAAGCATTTTAAATGGCTCACTAAAGTGTCTGCGCTTCTTTGTTATGGAGCAGCAGTCAGTCCATGCAATCTTGGAATCGATTTTCACTATGGGTCATCCGGAAACAGTCTCTCTGTGCTTTAGTACAGGGGTAAGACTGCGTACATCCGACCCCCCCTTACCCCACCGTAGGTGGGAGCCTTTGCGGCACTGGGGTAAATGAAAATGACACCAAAAGCATTTTAAATGTTCTGATATAATCGGAGAACTTCATTTTTCTGGTAATTTTCAAGCTAGACAACCTTTAGGATCGGCCTGGAACTGGGAATATGCTAGGAAAGAAAATCTGGAGGCAAGTATAGGGTAAATTTGAAGGAAAGAAAAGGTGAGGCAAAATAGAACATTTGTTCAAATCTGATAAGCCTAATTTTGATATTTGTTCAAACTTCGGACTACTTTATTCATCTTTTTCTATTGTTTAAAGACTAAGAAAAAATACATAAGTAAACCTTTTAAAACAACCACATCTCGTGCTCTTTTTCCCTAGTGTATGAAAATAACTTTCCCTAGCGTTTTTGTCATTTATTTGCCTACCATTTTGTGGAATCCGAACACTCTTAGTGTGTGACACTGCTTTATGAAACATGAGACCGGATATACAATTAGCCGAGGAAAGAAGTAGGTTGTACAATATGATTAATAAGCACAATAATTACTTATGTTTAACATAAGTAATTATATTTATCTGAACAGATTTATAATGAGAAAACAAACAAAAATCCCAAATTGAGCTAGAAATGATAGACATACAAGAATGAAGAAACGGGGGTCAAAAGAGGCCAAAAACCAGCACTTCTGAGTCAAACACGGACGTCAAAACGGGGCAAAATACTTTGTATTTGCAATTGGGGAGTAAGTGGCGCCGATCGGCCCTTTTAACCGGTGCCGGTCACGATGAGTTTTCCGAACATACAAAAGCTGAGAGCAGACCAACTCCGGACCCAACCTCCAACCGGTGCCGGTCACCTTTCAGCGTTCAGATATATAATACATGACCGGCACGGGTTGGGTCCGATTCTGCAGAAACACTCGAACATGCTGAAATATCTTGAAGGGATGTGAAGATATTTGGAGGTTGGGAGCTGAGAAATTTTATTATCAAAAATAAAATGGTGTATGTAACAAGACAACGGATCATGGTTTTCATCAGTGAATACTGAATAGACTATAAGATGGAAATCTTTAGCTTATTTAAACCCCATCTCCATCCCGTAATCGTCATTCATTCTATAGTTAATTCACAGCTTTCATATATTTATTCTTGCTTAATTTTTGGAGTTCTTGAAGAAGGAATTTCATCCTTCTCAACCATTGGCGTTAGGTATTATTTCCTTTGTAATTTCATATTTCATTACATTTAATTGTTGTATTGTGATTAATATGATTATTTAATATTTCATTCATTACCTCTAAACGTATACTTTGTATTCAAATCCCGAACTTTATAATATCAACCATTTCCCAGTGGATTGACCTGGTATCTTACTGGTATTTATTACTACATTGGTACCTGTATACGTGTAGTTTGGTCAATGACCATGTGGGTGGGGTAGCAAATGCAGGCATCAAACCTGTCAGAAGAGATATCATGTGAGCGTCGGAGCAGCATGTATTTCATGTTTGTCTTTGTCTTAACTGTTAGCTTAGGTGCAGGATTTTTGTACTTCATAAAGCCCATTGGTGGAAGACAGATTATCCATGAGCCCCTAACATGGTCAGGGCTTTTCTCTAGAATGTGATTCGGAGAAGAAGATTCCATTGCCAAGGAGCGAGGTTAATAGCTTTCCGTTCGGGGTCCATTTCGAACCTGGAAAATGCTAGGGAAAGAAAATAGTGAGAAAGTAAGAAAACATGAGGGAAAACTAATACATTCTAACCCGAAAAATATGTTTAGATATCTGTTCAAACTCATTTTATTTATCATTTCTATTATAGAGAAACTAAGAACTCTAAATGTGCATAGAAATTACAAAACAAAAATAATCATTTTTCATTTCCTTTTGTACTTTTGAAGGTGAATCTGACTATAAAAGAATAACTTTCCTTCGCAATTTCTTTCCGTTCCCTATAAATTTATGAGATTCAAACATACCCCTGGTGATAGGAGCAAATGTGGAAGCCAGGGAAAAGCCAGATGGTATAATTGAAATCCTGTGGTGCCTTGTCTCTTCCTGTTACCTGTCCACCTCTCCAACTCAGAACCTTTGGCCTCGCAGGCTGTAAAATGTTTAAAATGGTGTGTAAAGAGTTTTATTTCCAAAGCTTAATCAGTCAGGGAAACTTAAACGTCTCAAACAAATATTCTTATAATCACTTTAGACTTTTAAGCATTTAGTGGTTTCATGCTCGGGCTCAGCCCCATCATGCAGTTGATTTGAATCAGTTTTTTTTTTCTGTGTGACAGGCCAACATATGCAGGAAATGCTCTTTCTACTGTTCAGTATACTGGCCCCATGCCTTGTATGCTGACCATCAGGGCTCCATCTTTTCCGACAGGTTTAGCTGCTAATTCAAAACCTAATGCTGCTTCCATTGACCAGGTTGATATATCTACCTTGAATGAAGGTAGGCTAATATACATTGTCATGAAAATGTTAATACTCTTGCTAATACCCTCCCCCCTCCCCCTTCCCTGCAACTCTTAATGGTCATGCAGTGCTACTTATCCTAACATTTTTTATTTATTAATAGTTTAACTAAATACATCTTATTGAGCTACTTTATAACTTTTTGTTGGAATGCTACATGCAGCTTTTTTTCCATTTTATAAAACATGATTTTTTAAGGCTAGACGGCAGGGAGTACAACATATTTTGTATTTTGAGTTCACGATATATCAGAATCTAACACTCTATGTGGGTTGATTGGACTTCATTCTTAGTACATGGTAACTGTACAGTATAAAGAGTGCTTTTTCCTATGCAGATAGCGCAGTTGGCAAATCAAGATATATACAACTTTGCTCTCAAAATACAGAGCGCCCCGATTTGGGAAATGCATGTATTGTAGTTACAGGGGGGCGGGCTCTGAAAAGTGCCGACAATTTTAAAATGATTGAGAAGCTTGCAGAGAAACTTGGGGCTGCAGGTAATTTCCAATAATATTTGGTCTTGTATCTCTTTCTTAAAGAAGTGGGTAATTCTGCATTCACATGTTCTCCGTTTACTCTGGACACTTAGTGTCCGTTAGGTAATCACTTTTTTTCTTACTCTTTTTGTCTGTCTTCTCTTTTTGACATCGATATCATGGATCGATTCATGTTAGCCGACCCCAAAATCTTTTGGGACTAATGCTTGGATGTTGTTGTTGTTGATATTCTTTTACCATTTTTTGTGCTATATTGTTTGATAATGAACAAAGTAGGGCTAAATTTACTTATTTTCAGCCTTAAGTTGCTCTGTTGCTGAAGATAATCATGTTTTAATATATACTTTCTTTGTTCTATCAATAAAATGTATTTCTAATATTTCTTTTCAAGGAGTTCAACAATGTAATCAACTTCATCATTATCAGCCAACTAGTTGGGGTTGGCGACATTGAATATAGATTGCCAATTAATTGTTCAAATAACTTTAGAAATTCATGCAAAAAGCATATAGGCATTCTTCTACACCAGAGTGTCCTTCCTATAGCAAGTTCTCAACTTTCATAAGAAGCAATAATGAGGTGGAAATCCTAAAACCATCATCGTAGTATATATCCAGATGCATTGTATATATACATAATACATCATGAGACAAGTCAGACAACGATGAGTTGATGATATTGCAAGATCAACATGCAAAATCATGGAACATGCCTCTTCCTAAATAAGCATTACAATATAAAAGTACTTTTCATACTGTTAAAAACACTTCTTTTTGAGATGCAAGATTTTTCTTGCTCTAAATAGCACTTATGCAATTATCATTTGAAATTAATCATCAGTCGCACCGTAAGATATTTCATTATCTAATGAAGATGCTTGATTGCTTTTCTGTCATAGTTGGTGCGACTCGTGCAGCGGTTGATGCGGGATATGTTCCTAATGATCTCCAGGTAGGGGTTGTTTGTTTTAACCTCCAGAAGGTTTTTCTGAGGGCTGCTATCTACATGGAACCTATTTTGCATTCATATTTTACTCTATGCATGTTTGTTAACTCAATGGAAGTGTGTACACACGCGTGTGTACCCACTCACACACACGCGTGTATCCACTCACACACACGCGAGCTATATACAAAACCTAACAAGAGCTCAACAAGCGAGGCAGGAGCATGCAAAGCAAAAGAAATGCAACAATCTACTAGGGGGGGGGTTCAGTACTGTACACCAAAGATTGTCTTTATTAGTTATATTAATAAATAATGCTTCTAAGCATACTTATATTAGTTATATCATGATTCCTTTTTGGTTTTGGACTCTTGTAATAGCTATATATAGTATTTTTTATCAAATAAACTACTTTTGGAAGAACTAGTTTTACTGTGACTTGACTAGGTTTGGTGCCAGTCTAATTCCAGCTCAAGCTTCTAGATTATTTTCTCTGTTTTTGAAATCAAAGGATCTGTCAAACACAGCTTCCCTCCCTTCTCTTCTTTTTGTTCTATCTTGACCTTGAAGAGGCTGCACAGGTGCTCCTAACAATGATAAACTTAAAATTTTCTTGCATCATGACTCTTTCCCTACCCACGTAACTGGTTTTCTCTAACTGAAACCTCATCATGTTTATAAAAAGCTAAGAAGATATATATATATATATACATATATACATACACACATATGTATATAGTCTGGTGCACTTTTTAACTTTGTTCAAACCAAGTCAATATTAAATAATGAGATTTTGGTAAATATTATGCTTAACTCGAAGAAGTGCAGTGAGTGAGCTTCATTGTATATTGGGGCAAATGTGGGTGTTCTCACGTTATACATTGTTCTCATTTGATCTCGAATCTATCTCAAAGTCCTCCCAATTTACAAAATACAAACTCATCTTGGCCATCATTTCAATTGATCTAATGGCTGGAAATGCACAGTGTCATTTTGGTAATCAAACCAAAGTTTTTTTTGAATGCAACACTTCGAACGTTAATATGCAACTGCTTATTTCATCACAGAATAATACAAATAGCGTAAAAATTCATCATACAAAATTTTACACAATAAGTACACTTTGTACTAGATCCGCCCCCTATATATAATTTATATATATGCTGGGAGATATATGTGTGGTAGTTAATCTCTCTATGGATAGAGCCATATATGTTGGTTTTGTTTTTCAGGTTGGGCAGACTGGTAAAATTGTTGCTCCAGAATTATATATGGCTTTCGGTGTTTCTGGAGCTATTCAACACATAGCTGGCATGAGAGATTCCAAATTCATTGTTGCTGTTAACAAAGATGCTGATGCACCCATATTTCAGGTCTAACCCCCAAACCACCTGATGTATGATGATATAAATTAGCTGTTGTTACAATCCCTTCCTAAATTCATGTTTAGGCCCTCCTGTTTTACTTAGATCCCGTCTTACCCCAATTAATCCGGCCTTGCCAGGTGCTAGACCTTAATCTCCCAATTGGCGTGTTAAGTCATCCACATCAACCAAATATTAAAATACAAACCAACACATATGGAGACATTGGGGTACTCCTGTAAAGTTAACCTTGGTATTGAACCCTAAGGCTTAATATGGTTTTAGTGTAAATTAAGCTCAAATGAGCGGGTGGATCCTGGTACGCCAAAAAAGATGAGAAGACAAACCTCAAGATTATCTCTGCCAACCCATAATGGAGGAGATATCCTCAGGATACAAACATACAATAAACCAACTGCCAACCAAAAGGTCCAAAGGACTAAGAGGCTAAATTAGTAACAAGAGAAGCCTAGACAAGATGACAACCATGTGAATAACCTTGACCTAACGATCTCGGCCTTCCAATTGGAAGAGGCATATTGAGCTCACCCAATATGCCAAGTTTCTCCATATCGACAGCTTTACCGTCTAGGTCCCAAAACAAGCCGAAGTCATTCTGGCTAAACCAACAGGCACAAACATCACTCCAAAGTTAGACTGAGATGTGAGTAATATAAGGAAGTTGGTGTATATCATGATATAAATTAGGATGCATATGCTTAGGTATATCTTTGCACAACTGAACTGTGCTGACCCATTTTATGTGCAAATCCATCCAGCAAATGAGTGTGCAAGGCTATTAGCAAACAGATCACCAAGCTGCAATTTAAAATGACAACAAGATTAGAAATCTATACATGACAAGTTGAGGGTTTATGTGAAGGTAGATGACTACCTTCACCACATTTTTGCGCCATTTTGGGGACACGAATTTCAATAATGCTAAAGCACCACTGTAGTGCTTGAGTGGGGGGGGGTGGTGGTGTACCAACCCATCTTGAATGCTGTTAATGTTCTGGAATTCATAAGAGGGGAGATCCTGATAGGAATATAGACAATAATACTAATAAGAATATTAGAATAGTATTAAAGAGTGTAATAGTGTATAAGTGAAGATTCTGGGCCATTTAGAAATAATGGGCCAGCCCTTAAAGAAATAAAAGTACTATAAATACAAAGGAAGGGGAAAAGAAGAGGTAGGCAAGTATTTGGGACTTGGATAGGCTAGGAGACTGGGCATCTCGAATTGTCCGTTGTATTCATTCCGTAAACACATCGTTCATCAATAAACATTTTCTTCATCTCTTCTTGATCAATTTCTTAGTGATTCTCTACAATTCTAAGTCAGAATTATCTGGTTCTATCATTGGTATCAGAGCATTACGCTCCTGGTGATTACAGAAGTGATCGGAGAAGTACGGAGATCCAGAATTTTTTTTTTCGTTCGAAGGTGGAGGGTTAGAGCGAGAGGTAAAATGGATCAGCGCATGGATTTGCTGGAAAGGAGGCAGGTATCGATGAAGAAGAAATTAACAGAAATAAGAGAGATGGCGGAAAACATAACCAGACAGCTAACTGCGAGGAACGAACAATTTCAGGGGAGAGGGAGATCGCGAGTGGTTACTACAGGGTCGAAGATGTCTTCACCCTCTGCTCCTCACACTTCCAGTATTAAATCTTCGTCGCGAACTGTTCATCCTCTATCTTCTTCGCAGGTTTTTTCTCCTAATTCACAGACTGAATCGCAAACTGCTTATCCTAGTTCGAAATCGCGAACGATTACTCTTAGTTCACAATCGCGAACAGCTTCGCTCAGTACGCAGGGGTCCTCGCTAAGCGCACAAGTTTCATCGCACAATCCGCATCGCACTGTGCATCGCACTTTGAGGGAGATGGAATTACCTTCTTTCAATGGTGATGACGCTTTTAGATGGATGGATAGGATGGAACGATATTTCTGTCTCTATGCTATTACAGAAAAAAATAAGGTTGAAATCGCAGCTGAAGCTATGGAAGAAAGGGCGTTTCACTGGTTTCAATGGTGGGAAACTCAAATGAGTGACATGAGTTGGGGCGCTATGAAGGACGCCATAACGCGGCGTTTCCAACCTACAGGCATGCGGAAGACAGAGATCCAGAAATCCTCTCCAAGAACTACTCTCAGTTCACAATCTTCTACGCGAACTACTGTTTGTTCTTACAGTCCATCATTTGAATTCCTCATACGTTCGCAGAAGTCTTCGCAATCACACTCCCAAACTTCTTCTTCTCCAAGTGAAACAAGATTGACAGGAGGTTTGAATTCACAAGTTTTGTCCAAGTCACAAGCAACTCTCCCCAGTTCCCTGGCTTTGTCGCGAGCTGACCCTCTCAGTTTGGGTCAAAGTAAGAAGCCTTTGAGAAGCGAACCTTTCAGTTCTCAGACGATACCTAACAAAGATGAGGTATTCGAAAATCTAGGACAAAGCCGAACCAGAAGAGAGTTAGAGGTGTCTCTAGTCAATAAAGAGGAGAAATCGGCTGTGGTGACTCAATCCTCTATCTCCGTAAACTATGAATCTGTAGTTGATAAAATTGCTGGTTCAAACACTTGGGAAAGCTCTACAGGGACTGTCCACATCGAGGAAACTGAGGAAATAGAACAGGGAAATGATGGAAAGAAGCTTCAGGGAATCATCAGCGCAGACACTAATGCTACTGAGGAATTAATCAAACAAGGATGGGTACCGAACATTGATGTTCCTGCTGTTATTATTGGTCCCAGGGATTACGTCATATCTGATACTACAACTTCAAGGAGTGGAGCAACTGAAATCAAAGTCAAGTATGGAAGATCTTAGTCCAGCAATCAGCCAAGTACTGGGAGGGGAGAAGTGCCAGAATGAAGTGGAAGTGGAAGATCATGGTTGTTCCCTATCACCCACCTTGAGGACAAGGTGGTTGTTTAGGGGGGGAGTATTGATAGGAATATAGACAATAATACTAATAAGAATATTAGAATAGTATTAAAGAGTGTAATAGTGTATAAGTGAAGATTCTGGGCCATTTAGAAATAATGGGCCAGCCCTTAAAGAAATAAAAGTACTATAAATACAAAGGAAGGGGAAAAGAAGAGGTAGGCAAGTATTTGGGACTTGGATAGGCTAGGAGACTGGGCATCTCGAATTGTCCGTTGTATTCATTCCGTAAACACATCGTTCATCAATAAACATTTTCTTCATCTCTTCTTGATCAATTTCTTAGTGATTCTCTACAATTCTAAGTCAGAATTATCTGGTTCTATCAGATCCATAAGAATTCCTGATAGCAATAGAAGCCCATCTTACAATTGAACATTCCAGCAGGAATGTTAATCTTGATAAGCCCAGCTAAGGTAGTTCCCTTTAAAGCTTCTTTATTGTAACTTTATACAATAGAAACACATAAACTACCTGATGGCAGCCTACATCTCTCCCAAGCCAAATATATCAAGGATTTACTTAACCAAACTGGTATGCTGGACTCCAAAGCAGTAAAAACACCTATGGTCAGCACTTCAAAACTCACTAAAGAGGGCAGTAACCATCTCCCAAATCCTTCTTACTACAGATCAGTTGTAGGAATTCTGCAATATGCCACTCTTACTAGACCTGACATATGTTTTGCAGTCAACAAGGTTTGTCAATTTATGGCAGCACCACTGCAAGAACACTGGCTTGCAGTTAAACACATTCTCAGGTATCTATCTGGTACCACCAATCATGGTCTCATCATCAAACCTCTACCTCTATCCTCCATACCTCTTCCAATCTCAGCCTATTGTGATGCAGACTGGGCATCTGACCCTAATGACAGGAAATCCACATCTGGCTCATGCATATTTTTGGGTTCTAACATTGTTTCATGGTGGTCAAGAAAGCAGGACAGAGTAGCAAGATCTTCAGCTGAAGCTGAATATAGAAGCCTAGCTGATACCACTGCAGAGTTATTATGGATTCAATTCCTTCTACAAGAACTTCAAGTCCCTTTTTCTGTTCCTAAGTCTATTGTGATAACCTCAGCAGTGTTCAGCTTGCTCACAACCCTATCTTACACTCTATGATCAAGCATATGGAACTTGATCTCTTCTTTGTCAGAGAAAAGGTTCATCTGAAGCAGCTTCAAGTCTATCACATTCCTTCTCCCTATCAAGTTGCTGACATCCTAACAAAACCACTCTCCAGCTCCAATTTTCTTGATCTAAGGACAAATCTCAGTGTTGCTGATCAATCACCTTCATCTTCAAGGGGGGAATGTTAGATATACATTCTAAAATAGTCTATTGTACTTGATCTGTGTTTGTTAGAGTTGGTTAGAGTTAGTTAGCAGTCTGACCTAACTGATTCTATATATATCTTGTAATGCTGCTCCAGAACAATTAAGTAATAATAATAATAAGCTTCTTCTATCTCTCTCTCTGTACGATTTCTATTATGTTACCAGCCATTCCTAGAATAGTTTCTAGTTAAAATGCAGCTCTGATATTGCAGGCCATTTTCTAAATACAGCTTCAGCTTGTGGTGAACGGGTGTGTCGGTCACCTGCGAATCCCTGCTATCTAGCTTGTTTCTTTTCTGCAAATCTTTTGCATCGACCTCTTACTTTTGCTTCCCGCTCAGCTTTCATCATATCTTCTGCGTCAATCTCATTATTCTGTCTTCGTCTTTATCTTGAGACGACCTCCAGCCCCTAGGCATAGTTACACACTTATTAATTTATGATATTATTTTGCCACTACGTATTTTTACTTCATTGCTATTTTTATCAATATTTACCGTTAGGTGCTACAGTAATTTACAATTATCATGATGATTGCAGATTGCTATTTTAGTGTATCACTTTTTCTGTCGTTATTCTTTAAATCAATAACTTATTTTAGTTTATTACTATTTACTACTACGTATTTAGTAATGATATGTGTGGAGGATTGATCTCATTTTATCTTTTTTATCTTTCTTATTTTCTCTCTCTTTATCCTTTTTATCTTATCT